GTGTGTGTGTGTGTGTAGAGGAACTATGACTCAATGCTTAGTTCATGCCTATACAGCCTTTACAAGCTATAACTTATCTCTTCTCTGTCCAGTATCAGTTCTGTTTATCTCTTCTTAGTTATCAGATTAATTTTGACTGAAAGGACTCATTAAATAAACATCATTTAAATATAACTTTGTATAATCAATCAAATACTCTTTAATTTTTCTCTCTGTTGAGAGTTGGCCTATCCAACAATTATCCCAGCTGAGTCCTGCTGACATGTTCGGTCCAGGAACTTCCTGTTGCTGTTCTTAGCTCACATGCCGCTCTGGACGCCTGGGAAATTCAGAGCAGGAAATGATGTCATGCAAGGCACTTCAGGGTCCTTGAGACCCAGCACAAGGCAGACATAACGCTGAGAAAAAGCTGCCAGAAAGTCAAGGTTACTGGTGTTGGATAAAAGGAAGGAAATGAAAGGTAGAGGAAAGAAAGGCAAAGGCACACTTTAAGAGAAAAAAACTCTAAGGACATTAGGGTGCTTGTATTATGTGTATTATGTAACATAGCTGGCACCTTTTGTTATGTAAGGAATTATCTTACGGCCCCTTTGTCCCACACATGGACGCCCATATTCACACACCCACACAGAGTCATACACATACCATCTGTCCACCTTCCCTGCTGTTGTTCTAGTGACTTGCTGCCGGTTGTCATATATTCTCCACAGCAGGAATGCAGCAACATGGAATAGACTGAGGGAAAAGCACAGTGGGCAGCTTGGATTAGCTCCATCTGACTGTGTGCATGTGTGTGTTTTGTGGCCCACTAATAACATGTTTGTGCACTAATTAATCTCTTGATTAAATTCTGCACAGATGAATAGCAGTGCTTTGTTCTCACGCTGACACTGAGCTTTGCCACTTGGCACCTTTGCACACAAACACAAAGACGCATTGCCAATAACACGTGCACAAACACTGTGGAACGCCTATTTGTGCTTTTTTACCCACTATATTTGGGGACTACAATGGCTTCATAACTATTGATTGCTTTTGAATGCATCACTAGGGTTTTGAAGTTCTTGTAGCATTGTTATGGTCAGTTGATTAGTAATAGGATGTATTTGCAAGTATGGTTTATTTATTCATCTATAAGAACTCAATTTAGTATTTCCATTGTTTAGCAACACATTAAGAAGCAGATCACCAACGCTTTTACTTGATCATATTTTAGTCCTTAATGAAGAGCTCAAACTTTAGCTCTAGTAATGTGTTACTCTACATAAACAATTTGGAGAAATGGACAGTGGTTTTGAAAACTATTATTTACTCTTTGAATCAATATCCTTTCATTCAATTACACCACCCCCTTTTTAAGGGCTCAGTAATTTGCTTAAACCGCAGGACATTGTAGTTTTTCATTTCTGGTTTTGGTCTTTTAATGGGATTTGTTGACATCAAAAAAAGAAAAAAAACATAAAATCACCAGATTTATCCCTTAACATTTCTTCCTTGTAATGTCTCCTGCTCTTCATCTGCATCTCCTGTTTATTTAATCTGGATTCTGTAGAAAAAAGTCAACAATCTCTTAAATCTCACATACAGCAAATAAGCGGCTGGTGTGGTACAGTCTTCCTGCTTGTGGTTTTCCCACAGGGTCTGTTCATCTCAGCTGCCTTCCCTACCCCAGCTGTCTGCCTGTCTCATCCTTTTTACATTCTTTGACTCACTGGGGGCAACATCTGGACTGTATGTGTACACACTGCATTCTCCCGGTCTGCAGTATTGCACAGTAAACCAAAAGAAAAGAGGCCGAGGTCAGAGTCTCCTTGCTTTCCTGCCAGTAGGTTCAGCTGACATGTGAAGTTAGCGTCCACCAGTCGTCAGTCTGTGACCTCAGGGGCAGCCTGATGCAAACGCCAGCTGAAATTAGCCCTTTCCACCATGGACGTGATGGGACAACACAGCTCCGGTAATGACAAAGAAGATGTGGAATTGGTGGCATCGAGCAGCCTCTTGTAGGGGCAAAGAAGAAGAAAGGATGAGGAGGTTTCAGTGAAAGAAGAAAAGAGGATGGATGGGTGAAACGTGAGGGAGTATTTTTGTATAGGGGAACATTGTGAAGGGATAAGAAAAATGTACACAAGAATGAACAAGAGGTAAAAAGTGAGAACCAGAGCGAAGAGTGTAGTGCAGCATAAGGCGGAGAGAGCTGTAAAAAATAGAGAGATATTGTATGTGGATCCTAACAAAGCAGAAAGTGCAAGAGAGGAGGTTGAGGAGAAAATTAGAGGGAAGAGAAAACCTGCATGGGGCAGGCTGGAAGAGGGAGGCAGAGTTGTAAACAGAAGGGTTGGAAAGGCAGCGAGGAAGAAAGTACAGAATCGTTGCCACTTGATGGAAAGCTGGATAGCAGCGAGTGGATGTGCCATGGGATGGAGAGGAAACAGTCTGAGCAAAGGAGAAAGAAATAGAAGCATGTCATCACCTGCACCATGAGGGCTTCAAGTAAGTTTTCAGCTGTCTGCGTTTCCTCAGATTTCCTCACCCTACAGGCTCTCTCTGGTGAAACTTTTTCTCACTGGAATTTCTCTGAGAGAGTCTCTGGTCTATTTTCAGAGTGTTACACAAAAATATTTTTCAGTCTGCCATCGTGTTTCTTTCGTATGTGATTTGGAGAGATGAGTTATGCCGAGAATGCAGGGAGAGGGATGTAATTGCTGGATTGCGGTGGAGGGATCATTTCCTCTGACCGTCTGATGGTGAAGACAGAGGCTTTTTATTGCCCTGCTGAACCTTGTCCCCTGTGTTTCTGTGGTGCTTCTCCCTTTCTCTGCCAGCACCTCTAAATGAGTGAATGAGACAAGTAAGAGTGAATGAGTGGGGCTTTGAAAAGTTGTGGAAATGTTGCTGTTGGTGGGTTATATTTAAGAGGTGTGGACGTTTATATTATTTTGAACTTGACTACTTGTCATTTAATGTCTATTATTTACAGTTTATATAATTACTTTGACTTGCTTGGATTTTTTAGAAGATGTCTTCCTACAAACCTTAAGCTTCTCACTCTTTTTTAAAATATATGTGTGTATGCATAGGTGTAAATGTGTCTCTGGTTATGTATGTCTCTGTGTATATATTATATATTTTACACTGCTGCATTTTATCACTGGCACCAAGATCATTGAAAGGTCTTTGTCAGCACAAAGCTCTGCTCATAAAGAAAACGTATACACACACACACATTTCAGAGCTGGCAGTTTAGCAGTGTGAGCAATACATATGCTAGCGGAAAAAAGCAGTAAAACAAATGCCTGTAAAACATCTCGTGGTGCTGGCGGCAGCACCTAATGGGGTGTGGTGCCATGTGTAAGGCTTGTTAAATGTATCCATTACCAGCTGAAATCCGATTGCCGGTTTTTGTGATTGGTTATTATTTGAAAGTACAGGATATGTGATATGTATATTTAAACTGTGTAAACTGCTTCCGTTGTCCTCTCAAGATAATGTGGGTCACTCACTGGCTCACTTCCAGCTTTTCCAATCTCATCATTCCAGTGAATGCCCAGAGGAAAATGTAATTCTCTGAGATGTTCCTCCACAGTATGGGATAGGGAAACAGACAATAAAAGACAGATCAGTGTACTGGAATTCTCAGAGGGAAATTCAATAATGAGGGGACTTTCCTCCACTAAAAAAATATATTATTGTAGGTCCCACTTCAACAACACTGTTTTTTTTTTGTATTACTGTGAATTGTTGCCAGAAATCCATATGATGATGTGTATACTCAACATGTCTTTTTTTGCTTTACAGAGATTGAGGCTAAGGAGGCTTGTGATTGGCTTAGGGCAGCGGGATTTCCACAGTACGCCCAGCTCTATGAAGGTAACACACACACACACACATACACACAGAGAGTAGCAACCCAGCTAACTTGTTTGACACAAAGACTTGCCCCCATCAAATCTCTGCTTTTGTTCTTTCCTGTTCCTAGTTTTTCTCTATCTCTTTCTGTCTGTCTTATTTTTTCCATCATCTCTGTTTCTCTTTTTCTGCCATCCCTCCCTCTTTGTATCCTCATCTTCTGGACCGCTGCGTTCTATTTCCAGGCTTCAGTTCCTGTCCAGAGGGAGGGGTCATGGGAAAGGCCTTGTTATCACTGCCGGGACTCTCATAGCTTCTATCGCTCTCTTTTTTCTTTCACCTTTCTCCTTCTACCCTGTCCTCAGCATGCCCACCACTCCTCTTCAAGCAGGCATTTTCTTGCCCTTTCTTTTTTTCTTTCTTTCTTTCTTTCTTTCTTTCTTTCTTGCCCTTCTTTCACTTTTCTGGAAAACCTGCAGGCGTTCATTCATGTGATGATCATCGGGTCTCATACAGTTAAGGGAAAAACAGGAAATGGTCCCAGTAATCTAAGAAGTAGTTCTTAAAATCCAGCAGTCCTGCTTTAGCAGCACACACACACACACACACACACTCACACACAAACACTATACTTCTCTGTGAACCACTGTGAGCTCCAGTAATGTCGGGTTATGGATGGCGGCCTCTGGGACTCTGTGGCTGCTGCCGGCTGCACATGATGCCTGCAGTCTGCCACCACACACAGAGAATCACCAAAATAAAAGGCTTGAGTCATTTTGGCAGCGACATTGTGGGGAATTCAAGTTATTTTGGGGTTTGAAAATGTGTGTGTGTGTGTGTGTGTGCGTGTGTGTGTTTTGTACACTTCAGATTTAGATGACAGGTGCTGATAGTGGTTGCAGAAGTTGTGCCACAAGTCTCAAACAGTTAACCCGCAGAGAAAACTGCTGTCTCCTGTCAGTCATTAACGAACAAAACTCAGTGCCTCGCTCTCCCTTTTTCTTCTTTCTCTCTTTTACAGATTCCCAGTTCCCAATTGATATTTCCTCAGTGAAAAGGGACCACGACTTTTTGGACCGAGATCTGGTGGAACCTCTAAGTCGGTAAGGGCACTCGCACAAACACACATATTATACACACTATGAGTGAGTGTGTATAATATGTGTGTTTATACATGCAGACCTCATTCTTTCTCTAGTAAAATCACAGATTCCTTTTCTCGCCCCCTCCCACTGGTTCTGTAGTCTGACTTGTCCCTGCGGCTGGGTGCTAACCGCTAATCATTAGATGTCTGACCCCGGCCCTTAATGAAGTCCCCATCCCTGTCTCCCGCTCAGACACCCAAGCTTTGATCTGGTCACCTCCCCTCCCCTCTGCCACGCTCTGATCTCCCATTCAAAGAGCAAAGACCCTCAGGGGGTAAAACAGGGGGGCTGAGGGTAACGGGGAAGGAGTGAGGGGATGCCAGTATATTCTACCAGATGGCTTTGAGTGTGTGTTTTAAGTCCCTTTGCACACCTCTATGATCTTTCTGTTTTACATCTCCTCTTCTTTTCTTCCCATTGAAGTTTTCCCGGCTTGCACCAGTATACTTGCTCCCCCCCTTATCTTTTTCTCTTTTCTCTGTTCACCCCCACCCCTCCAATTCTCCAATGTCTATGGTAGAGGAGGGTGTGGTAATTATAGCATTAGTGATTCTTGACAGCTATATTGTTAGAGAATACACATCAGACCCCCTGAGAACTGTCCCAGGAGCTGTTAAACACGTTCATAATGAGCTCTTTCTTGTTCGTACATTTCCCTTTACATGTTTTCTTTCCAGAACTATTTCCAGTTTAGATTATACATTCATGCTTGCAAGAATACATCGTGTATGGAGCATAGAATTCAAAATCAGATTCAGAATTGTTTGTACCATCCTGCAGTAGAAATACAGGTTACGGAGACTAAAATGGCTCCCTCTGTATATTTTTCAACTTGGATGTTTACTCTCAGCAAGAAAGACAGTTGATATGACAGCTTGCTGCTTTCTTGCTGGTATTTTTCTGGTTTATATGTAGCAACAAGCAATCCCTTGTCTGCCCGCTTGTATGAGAGGACAAGGAAAGTAAACAGTGAACAAAGGAGGAGGATTGCTCACTGTGCTATTAGAGGCTGAAATCTTTCAAATGATAGAGGTCACGAGCCCCAAAACATGGTTTTAATGATCCCATCTTGAAAGGCACCAAATGCAGCACCACCCTCCTAACCAGCCGCTCTTCACATGCCCCGAGTTCCAGCAGTGGGAGGGAGAAAGTGGGTGGGCAGGATGGGTGCAGACTGCATGTAGAGTTTTTGGTAAGGAGGTTTGCTCCCAGAGGTCCAGAGTATGGAAGTGGAAGGGGGTGGGGATGGGTGACAGATGAAGGGAGGAGGGAGGGTAGTAGAGGGGAGGAGCCGGCTGTGTTTCTGAGGAAAGTGAGGATCAGTCCCAGTGGAGTGATGCCAGAGACGGAGAGGAGAGGAATAGGGGGGAAAGGCAAGGTGGGAGAAAGGGATAGACAGAGTGTAATGAGAATAACCAGAAAAGAAGATCAAAGAGGAAAATGAAGAGACATGTCTGAGAGTGACAGAAGGAAAGGGAAACAGTGGCAGGAGTGACAGATAAGAGACTGTGAAAGTGAAAGAGTGAAGAAGGAAACAAACACACAGCAACAAACCGACCATATCCAACCTACCAGCACTGGCATGTTTCACTGACTGTGTGTTAATGTGTGTGTTGCAGACGTCTAAATACTCTGAACAAGTGTGCCTCCATGAAACTGGATGTCAGCCACCCCAAGAAGAAAGTAAGATATTTTTTTCCAACTGTGAGAGAGCATCTTTGTTTGTGTTTTGTTATCTGGGCAACTGAAAATATAATGCAATGTTTCTAAAAGGGGATTCACAGGGCTTGTGGATTTGCATTTGGTCCAGCTGATTTAAGTCTGGTAAAAATTGTGTCATTCAAACTAGATCAATGAAGTACTAACCACAAATTTATTCAAATGGCCAATGTTTTTATCCAAGGTGTATCTTGTGTCAGGTCACCATAGGGTGATGGCTCCCTGATGACAGGTGTGGTTAACCATCCAACCCACCCAGAGAGATGGAACGTCTCAAAACTATTAACAATTAAAGAAGTAAACAATTAAAATGCATCAGTCCAAAAGAGTACAAAAAATTTGTTTTGATTTTACCCTCACAAGTCGCGATGAAGGACGTTCATTCCATGTGACGCTATCTTTACAACTCTTAATTAATTTGTAGTGAATCCTAAATAGACTAAAGGTAAAATAAAAAGATCAATCATGATTTTTTTATTTGAACTATATATGTAAATACAACCTAAATGGAACATAAAAACTCTTATTTAGGACTGTGTTCTAGATTTTGACCCTGTACCTAATACCTCCTTTATCCTTCCATAGGGTGATGACTCTGATGAAGATGACCCATTGGCCATCAGTAAAAGGTGGACATTCGAGTGGAGCAGCCGACGTTGGTCTCGCCTACAAGACTTCCTGTTGGACAGCACCAATGAAAGCAGCCCGACCGGTCAGGGGGAGGGTCTGCACAGCACAGTGAGCAGTGAGAGTGTGCTGACAGACCTGAGTGAGCAAGAGATCACAGAAATCTCCTCCCTACACAGCGAGGACTCCGCCTCCGCCATGCCTGACTCTATATCTATGGCATCCCTCTCCGCTTCCTACCAACCACCCAGGGAACTTCCACACTACAACTCCCTGCCAATCAAGAGCAGTCGCCATGGGCAAGGCGGGCGGAGTAAAGCCAAAGAGTTTTTGCGTCGTATGGAACTTATGCGCACCTGGGGACCGTCGACGAGGCGGAAAAGCTCAAATCGCAGGCCACCACTGGTCATCAGTGGGCCGGTGTTACAGGGAGAGGAGCCTCACGCGCTGCAGATGCTCCAGTGTACTCCCATCAGCCAGTTAGAACACAGCCCTAAACACAACAGCCAAACTGATGGTGATGCTTCCTCTGTCTCCATTACCGATGATTGCAAAGGTCAATCCGAGGTGAGTGTGAGCCCCAGCAGTGAGACAGTGGCACCCAGTGTGAAGGAGCCCGTGTGTACAAAACCCCGCACTGCCAGCAAGAGAAGCAGCATGTATCTGGAAGATATGGAGCTGCCCTCTCAGGGTAAGAGGACTGAGGGACAGAGCCAGTTTGGCAGAAACCAGTTTCGCTCATATGAAAACCTCCTCGTTCACATCCCGAAAGACCATAAACCAGGCACCTTTCCAAAAGCTCTATCCATAGAGAGCCTTGTGCCTTCCCCTGATGACAGGAATAACGGGGCCCAGTCACGGGACAAAACTTCTCCATCCAAAAATGGCCTGCGTGAGCCCTGGTCTGGTAAACCTCTGTCCAAACCCCCCTGTCCGGGAGCTCCTAGGGGCAGCAGGGTGAGTGTATATGACAACGTGCCGGGCTCCCATCTTTACGCCAGCACAGGAGACTTGCTGGACTTAGAGAAAGAGGACAATCTGTTCCCTCACCTAGATGACATCATCCAGCACGTTAGTGGTTTGCAGCAAATAGTTGACCACTGGAGCCGCAGTGTGCTGCCCGAGGGTGAGACAGGGGAGGGGGAGGAGGAAGGGGAGGGCAGGACCACCCCAAGTGAGGGGGAGAGAGATGGGGTCTCCTTGAATGACACTGATTCGACAGGGACCAGTCGGGAGAGGCGGGACTCTGGATTCGGGGCCTCGCTGACAAGACCACGGTGAGTAGCTGTTCAGGCAGTTAAAAGATCATTTTGATTTTTTAGCAACTTGGGTCTTGTTTTAGTTGTTTTGGCCCTCATTTTTATTGGTTATGTCAACTTTGCACTCACTAAAGTAATTGCTGAGATCTTGGAACACACCAACAACGCTGCAACAAAGGCGAACAAGGTAAACAGTCAGACAGTCAGGTTGTAAACAAGACAGCAGCTTTGCCTGATGAGTATCTAAACCACTTTATTTGGAGGTAAAAAGTGAGGGAACCCCAAATGTCAGTAATAATCCCTTAATGCACAGGGAAACTGGTGCGGTAGGTCAAAGGTGATCCAGGAAGTTGTCTATAAACTATTATGGATGAATAGTTGAACAGTTTGGGTAATACATTTACTGTTCGCCTCCGTTTTCTCTTCAAAACAAGTTTGTCTAACAGGGAGATTTGCTTTTTTTAGTATTTAAAAAAAAAACTAAAACTCAAATTGACTTGGGGCCACTACCAAGTATTGTCAGGAGGGGTGGAGGGCTGCAAACGGTCCCTGGGGCGACAGTTTGAGATTCCTCGGCTACAGAGGTGCTCCAGCCTAGAGATTTGTTGAAAACCACTATGACTGTTGCGTTTCTTTCTCCATTGAACTTATAATAAACAATTTTCCCACATTCCCTAAGCAATCATCATGTTTGAGAATGTTATTATCATAGAATAGAGAAGATGGCCAAAACAGTGATAATAAGATCCAAGTTGTAACAAACCAGAATTATCCTTTAAATTGACCTGATAAGGCCTCCACATTTACAGAATTGCTCAGTCTCTCATTATTTACTGGTATTTTCTCTTCATCCCAGCCTACGATGGCCTAGTTTCAGGACTTCTGATCATCTCAACCAGCCAGCATCTTCCCTGCAGATCGGCAGCCAATCAGCAGGCCAGCTCAGCCTGCTGCAGAAGTTCTCTTTGCTCCGTCTCACGGCCATCATGGAGAAATATTCAATGTCTAATAAACATGGCTGGACATGGTGGGTATACGTGCTGGTACTTCTGCTTACAAATTTCTGTTGATTCTGTTGTGCCTTATTATTTCTTCCAAGCCAACTAAGGATGCTCTGTATGTGTGTGACAGTTTTTGCACAGATTATTTTTACTGCTTCCTTCAACTTCTCTATATCAGGGACAAAACAGCAGGACTATATGCACAATCAACAACACGTTTTAAGAAGCATAACTTAATCTACGACACCGACACTGGCTGTTACAATGGGTTCATGCATGTTTAGGTTGTCAAAGGCAGCAGTGTTGGTCAAAAACTGGCTTTAGATTTCTCAGCCACACACAGCACAGCCCGACAGTCGCCATGACCTGCATATACAAGTACATCCTTGTGTTGTTAACGATCAGCCCTGTTTGTTTTTATTATCCCCGAGAGGGAAACTGTTGACCAGCATCTACAGGAAGAGAGAGATAATGAAAGCATAGGCAGCTCTTTCTCCCACACACTTCCCTAATTGTTTTCTGTCTATTGCTCCCAGGTCTGTTCCCAAGTTTATGAAGCGCATGAAGGTGCCAGACTACAAAGAGAAGAGTGTGTTTGGTGTTCCCCTCATCATCCATGTCCAGCGCTGTGGTTTTCCGCTCCCTCTGTGTTTACAGCAGGCCCTCTGCCACCTCAGAACACACTGTCTGGACCAGGTTAGAGAGGAAAACAACATTTACAAAGCTGAATTTACTATACTATACTATATCTCCCCTCACTATAGCGATAGATGTTGGTTATTTACATTTGTCCTGTTTCTTTTCCATCTTGCCCTTCTATCTTTCTTCTTCCCTTCCTGTCTCAGGTGGGATTGTTCCGCAAGTCCGGCGTGAAGTCTCGTATTCAGGCTCTGAGGCAACAGTGTGAGCTGTCCCCTGACTCTGTGAGCTACGAGGACCAATCAGCGTATGATGTGGCCGACATGGTCAAACAGTTCTTCAGAGACTTGCCAGAGCCTCTGCTAACAAGCAAGCTGGGGGAAACCTTCCTGCATATTTACCAGTGTAAGTCGCCTCGGAGCGATGACTGCTGTAACATGTTGTCATACTGAAGTCATCTGCCTCAGAAGATGATGACTGTAAATGGTTTAAATTGAGATCATTTGAATGTGGATTCGTACAGCCAACCAGTCAGTTGATATTATGCTCACAAGCTGTATTTTTTAGCAGGGTACATAGCATTTACAGGAAGTAATAAACGGTCAAAATAACTATAGCTTTAATGTCTCACTGACAATAATAGTTTGATTACTACTTACTTACTGTATGTATTATATTTATGAAAATATCGCACATCAAAGATTGGATGTTTGGAACTATGAGTTATCCTTTGATCCATCCTGATGTCCTCTTTTTTTTGTCTTTAGATGTCCCAAAAGAGCAGAGGTTGCAGGCCGTCAGAGCAGCCATTTTGTTGATGCCAGACGAAAACAGGGAGGTTTTGCAGACGTTGCTCTCCTTTCTGCGTGATGTCACTTCCTTGGTGGAGGAGAACCAGATGACACCGATGAACCTGGCTGTTTGTCTGGGACCTTCGCTCTTCCACCTCAGCATATTGAAGAACGAGACGCTGTCGCCAAGGTGCATATACGAGCTGAAACCAAACTCATCAACGTGTGTTATTATTACAAACAAGTAAATGTATTTGGCAAATATAGCTCTTGCTGTGCAAATTTAAATCACAATCCTTTTTTAAAATGTTTAGATATTCATTTCACTGTAAATAAAGTGAACAGTTATTAAGCTAAGAGAAAACAGCATTGTAAGTTTGATAAATACAGAATTTTAATTTTCTTCGACCTGCTAAACACTATTGTTTTTCTAGTGTAAGTAATGTCAGTCAGTATTACTACTGCTATCAGTGATATCATGGTGTCTTATTTCCCTCTATGTAATTTGCCACCAAAACCACGTTATTTTTTTGTTAGTTCATTCAACTTGCATGAAGGCTTTCTGTACGTATGGGAACTCCTTATGACAGAAATTGCCTATACCTCAACCTCAAGTGCATTCTTCTGTCCCATTATGTGAATCCTCTTATGATTTATGTTCTGCATATTCTCTATAATTTCTCTATTCCTCAAGGTCAATCCAGAGGAAGTACACCACAGGCCGCCCCGATCAGAAAGACCTTAGTGAGAACCTGGCCGCCACCCAGGGTCTGGCACACATGATCATTGAGTGCCAGCGTCTCTTTCAGGTCAGGATTTATAGCAGTATTTGATTGCTTATAAATGATCCATATATGATGGGTTGACTGCTACTTTTAGGGTTGTCTCCACAATTCATCGTGTTGACTAAGAAATAAGACATAATCACATCTTTATATCTGAAATTAACGGACAAAAATAACAAAGCAGAGTGATGTTTTTCCCCCGCTGCATTGTTATTATCCAAGGCTACAGTATTATTGTGGGTAATGAGCTCATTTCTAAAACTGTATATCATCATTACCTTGAGGCTGTCAGTGTGTACAGTATACAGTATACTGCTGCAGCCAGTAAAAACCTTTTTGAGTGACTAAGAAAAACAGGCTTGATCACCAAGTGTTTTTGAGTTTAATGTGGTTTTATGAGTTTGAAATTTTAAGGTTTTTTGACATTGGATATTAATACGTTGTTCCACTTTTCAAGAGCTGGCATGACATATTTATAAATCTCTGTCATCTCAGTGCATAAGCTATTGCTCCAATAGGAAATGGACAACCCAGTGAAATTGCACTTCGTTTTATTTGTGGAGATGTATTTTCTGCTTTAGACATGGTAGTATTTAGGCCTGAACTGATGTGATGTGCTGCACGTCCTCCGTCTCTTTTTCCAGATCCCAGAGGAGATGGTGACCCAGTCTCGCAACTCCTACATGGAGGCTGAGCTGATGGTGCCCCCACTGGACGAGCTGTGCAAGGTTCACGAGGAAGATGTGGATGAGGACGAGGAAGAGGAGGATGAGGAAGGATCCTATCATGCACACCTTGAAAGGCTTGTCCAGAACCTGCTGGAAGAGGCCAAAGATAAGAGCAAAGGCTGGGTGTCTCGCTCAACTACTGATTATACAGAACTGGCATTTAAAAAGGTATGTGGTTTTTGAATTTCTGGAATATGAAGGGATTTTGAGAGGGCCAGGAAAGAAAGAAAGGAAAACAGGAAATATCAGCATCTTTATAAATCTATGACACAGGAATTAAATTATTATACTACTAGTCTGTTTGGGGTTTGAGGTATAGTGAGCCAAAAAACAAGGAAACTAAAGGAAAATCCTGATTTGTATAGACATCTCTTTGCATGAAGACCTACTTAAATTTCAAAATATACACAATCAGATAAAGTATAAATCTCTTTTGTCACATTGGGTTTGTGTGTAAGGTGGGAGATGGTAACCCTCTGAGACGGTGGCGAGTGTGTGTTGAGGTGTCGGCAACTCCCAATGAGGTGCTGCAGCGGCTGCTGAGAGAGCGCCCCCTGTGGCAGACTGAGCTACAGCAGGAGAAGGTTCTGGAGACGCTGGATAAACAGACAGACGTGTACCAATACTCCTGCTGCAACATGGCACCTCAACCCAGCTGCGACTATGTGGTACTAAGGTCAGGATTAATGGATTTAAATGTCTGAATGCTTTGTGTGTTTTCTTGAGAATTATTCATTACGTAGCTTTTCAGGTACTTTAAGCAAGCACCTTACACTGTCAGTGCCAACAGATTTTTTAAAAGAATGGGCAGTTGTAGTCACAACATGTTAAGACTATTACAATTCAAAATAAAACTATTACAATTCAAAATAAAAAATGTTTTCTGATGTTTTATAGACCAACAACTTATCAGTCAATCAAGAAAATAATATGAAGATTAGTTAATAATTAAAATAATTATTAGTTGCAGTCCTATAAAAAACAATATCTCACACTCCCACAATAAATGCCTGACTAAACTCACCGCTTTTCTATTATTTTGTCTCTACGCCCCCTCAGATCATGGCGCACAGACTTGTCTAAAGGCTCCTGCGCGTTGGTGTGTGTGTCCGTCGAACATGATGACAGCCCACGCGTGGGAGCAGTAAGGGCGGTGGTGCTGGAGTCACAATACCTCCTCGAGCCATGTGGGACTGGGAGGACCAGGCTCACACATATCTCCAGAGTGGACCTCAGGTGTGGGCGGACTTTAAGTGTTCTCATAGTCGAAGATTTAATCAGCATAGCAATCATTAATATGCATTATTTACTCTTCTTGCTACAGGGGAAGGTCTCCAGAATGGTACAACAAGGCTTTTGGTCACCTGTGTGTTAATGAAGTCCAGATGATTCGCTCCTCTTTTCAACCGATAGATCAGACGAGCACTGAGGCTAAGATCTGAACCTCAGAGATCAAGCTTTGTCTTGGGTCACACTTCCAGAGCAGTTGGGCCTGAGAACCAGTGACCCAGGACGGAACTCATCCAGGCAGTGTCTTTTCACGCTGCTGAGCCACACTGAGGTTTACTGTACCTTACTGTACTGAGTTACAGTCATTCACACACACAAGGGAAGGGAGGAGTGTTTTTTTTTTGTATATTACTTCTTATTTATCTCATAAATTATCATTTTAAAATCCCTTTTTGTAAACCACGGAACAAATGCTGGTTTCCAGTTCCAAATATGAAACCACTAATTTGATTTTCTTTGCATAACCATTGATGTTTCATATAATTGGCTTGCAACCATGTGCATTACGTAAGGTTGTGTGGACAGAAACAATTTTCAGTTTCAATTGCTCTGGGTCATTCTTCCAAATCCTCATCTACTAATCCAATATCCTGCAAAAAAAGATGACCTTATAAGACAGGAAGTACCAGCTGTGATCATGAGATGGTTGCCATAGTGTTCGGGTTAATGTTGAATATGTAACACCTTAATTTAAAAATTGTTATTGTAATAGAGTACCTACCTGGAACTTACACATATATATGACTGTTTCTGAAAATCTGAAAAAGGTTACAGTTGAAATCCTGTATTTGTATTGATTAATTTTAGAACACTAATGTCACATAAAATGTCACATGGCCTGCCAGTGAAATATAAATGACTCATTTGAATGAAACAATTTTTCCTCTCAAATGTATTATTGAACAGACCTAATCTGCGTTCATCACGGTCAGTCAAAACAGACATTACAAAAACAACACTGACAATATTTGGTATTGACATCTTATTCCTGTAAAAGTCACACTTTTTTAATGAATTTGTCCATCTATAAACTAATGCAAACTGGAGCAGCTTTTTACTCCTCCTACAATACTGTTAACTTCCACAAGTACAGAAACATAAATCCCAGTTCATCCTGTCAATAGGAATTACCAGGACCAGTACAATATGGGTACATGTCAGCGTTACATTATGAAATGTGCACTAGTTCAGGAAAGTACATGAGGAATCTGGATCACAGAAAAAGGAAACACTCATCGGGTCCATAAATGTACATTGTGTTTAATATCACTGTTGATTTAGTTCTCTGTCACTATTTTCAGTGTTAAACTTATCTACATGTTATTTTAAAGTTATAATTGTCATTATATCAATGTATATGGTTTCACTTTTGCTTTTTCTTGCTGTCATGTTATACAATGTCTAAGACATGTGACCATTTCACTGCTTCTGGGAAGCATGTTTGAAATTGTGTGTGCCCGTGTATCTGCATTTTAGATATACGTACAGCCTGTATTGTAAATATAAATGACGCTTTCTGTGCCAGCAGATCAAACATCATAGCTTTTTAGGGTCTTCCTATCATATTGATAAACAGAAATGTGAACTTTTCACACACCATCCTACTAAAGCAATAGCAGACTAAAGCTTGCTCTGCCATGGCACTGCCTTGGCTTTTTTTTTTGTTACGGCTGTAGGCAGCGTTGCTATGGTGTTGCTATGATACAGTATCTCTACAGTGCAACCAAAATCCTACATGGATGCTGTTTGCTGAGAAGTAGTGTGGTGTGTGTGTGTGTGTGTAAATATGCGTGTATGAAAGAGACAAAAAGACAAAGAGTGAGTGAGTGACTCTGACGTGAGCCCGTGGCTGTGTAGGGAGAGACTTTAAATCTAGCTGAGTAGCTGAGACCAGGTCTGCTTGGTTATTTCTGGCAAAGTGACAGAAAACAGAACCATTGTTTCTAAACAAGAGAATAAAAACTCTGAAAAATTAACAATTTCTGTGGAAATGTTCTTCTTGTCAATATTCCAGGCATGAAAATCACAGCAAAACACGTCACACATCATATTGTCCTTGTTATGTTTTCTTTTGTCCATTGAGCGGTGCTGTTGCCCCGCTGGAGTCTGAAGGTCATGAATGATTCTGGAAAGTATGCCATAGAAAATGTTTTCAGATACTGGAGTGAATGAAGAGTCATCAAAGCAGCAGGGGGTTCTCCCTAAGGACACCTACACTGTGTCCTTTAAAAGGGATGGATGTAGGAAACTAAACCTCCACGGCTCAGATCAATACTCAATCACATTTACCTACTTAGCCGTGTTAGTTGAGGACTCTCGCAGAGGACGATGAAGGTGTTCGGGTACAGATGCTGCTCTCCCCAGTCTCCTTGTGAGCCAGAGTGTGTGTTAGTTTTGTACCGACACGGAAATGAGTAAAATGTTGCTTCATTAACTTCTACCTCATTTAACATGTCAATGATTTTATCTAGAAAGTAGGGCACACTGTTACAGCTCCTGAATGTCAATGATTCTCTGCACTGTGGGTGTACCTTTGCTCCACTACTCTGTGGGCTCTGACAAATGAGGAACATCATGTTGCAAATTGCACTCAAAAGTAAAAAAAAAAGAAAAAGAAAAAAGGATTACTGACAAGGTGAAACAAACATTGATTCTGATTCTTTCCCCAATTGAATCCACTTTATTCCAAAGGTCTGAGCAGATGTTGAAGATTATGAAGACATGGATTGTGCAAAAAGAAAGTGTAATTTGATTTGACATAACTGGCTCTCCATCTGAACAGATAAAATGCAGAGGGAATCAAAACGTCAGTGCTCCTTCACACAGGGTGACCCTGCAAAAGCATTTCAGGGTGACCTCCTCTGGAGAAGACAGGAAGTGCATGTCCAGTTACCACACCTGTCCAAGAAATCTTTACATCCCGGGTGTAACTTTAAATGGTTGACTTTTCTGTCTAGAAGTGTGAAAGATTTTCAACATTTTATTATTTTTACATAATATTGATAATATTTCATATTCTTATATATTTCATATTTTTGCCAAATTGACACCATTAGAAACAAGCTAAATTATCTATTATTACTATATGTTTGCATTGTACCCATGGACTTACACGCAACTCTCAATGAATTGCTTTCTGATTGAAGAAAACTTTTAAAACGTGATGATTCATGGGCAAGTTCTGGAGCTATAAGGAGCGTCTTTTTTCTGGGATTTGTAAGCGGGTGTGTGGACGTTTATTCATGATGGACATCGATGTGACCAGGAAGTGTAAGTAAGGCACAATCTATAAATATGTGTATCACGTATGTGTGTTCAGAATTGACTGAGTTATTCCTTATGACTCAGAGAAAGAGCACAAACACAGATAGCTGCTTAGGCCTCACTGTGTATCACAATTAGGCTTTTTCACCCCTAATTGTTTTTCATGTTTTGTTAGTTATTGGTGTTTTTTTTATGTATGCATGTTAAGTAAAACTGAATCCTCATTTTAAAAGATTCCACTTAACAAGAAAGTGTCTAGTCTGTGATACAGTGTAAAATTAACTAGTAGGACTACAAACATTAATAGTGATTTGAAAATCAATACTTTGGTCACCACAAGAAACTCAAAATCCACAAAAAGCATACACTCAACCATATCTTTAATACACTTTTAACTAATAAAGAACTTCAGTGGTGAGATTTATGGATGCAGAAAAAGACCTAAAGCCATATTAAAACCTAGTATTCTTTTAGAAAATATAATTGAGTATACTTTTTTTAAAACTTGATGATATATCATTGAGCCTTAAAGTTGTTGATGAAATCACTTGCGATATCACAAAACTAATCTGTTTTTGTCTTTGCTTTTGTTTCATTTTCCTTATGTCACAAATATAAATGTATGTTATGTAGCAACGCTGGTTAATCTTAACCCAGCCTCACTTACTGTATGTCACAGACCAAAGTAACAGGATTGGGAAAAACATCTCTTATCTCCAATCATTAACATCATCATTCTCACTATCTGAAAACCTCAGTTGATGTTTGTGGTGATTGACTTTGGATGCTGTTTAATGTTGTTACTCTTTATCTGCATCACGGTCACATCATGGAGGCCGAGCAGAGAGAGAGAGAGAGAGAGGGAGAGAGAGAAAGAGAGAGAGAGAGACACACACACAGGGGGAAGCAGATGTATCTCCTCCGAGCCTGGTTAATCCACTGTCTTATTCCAGACAACCATGATAAGGTCATTAATGAATAAATTATCTGATGAATGAATTATTGATGAGACCATGTTGGCAGTTGTGTGTACAGTATCCTTGAGTGTGTGTCCTGATATTGGCGTATATAACCAAAACTATGCACAATTAATTAGAAAAATTAGTGACGCATGTTGTAAATGTTGTAAAGGAGAAGAAATCTGTCATTTACATAAGGTCGAGAGTTGGAGCTTTAGTAGTTTTAAATGACGTTTAAATGAATGAAAAATCCACAGATGTTGGGCCGTAATAGAAACAAATCCATGCAGATGGGGTATACATGAAGTACTTTGCTTGCTGTATTTCATCTACGTTACCAACGTCCTTGATCACATTTGTTACTTTCATGGCAAACAAGTTGAGTATGAGCATGGAAAATGTCAACTGTCAAGTCGTGGAGTTCAATATTGGTGCTGTTGTAAACCAGAAGCGAAGTGCATTCCAGGGACATCTTTTCAGGCCTTGCAGGTTTAGAAATGTTACCATTTTTTATATAAATCAGTATGGCAAGAAAAGTTGGACATGTGCAGCAATATTTATGGTTATCCTAACACAATGTGAACATAAACAATAGCAGTAATATGAATTGTTTTCCACAGTACTTAATAAATTCCATTATTATGGAAAGTTTACTGTTGCATTTTTATTAAACAGGAAACATTTAGTTAATGATCGCTCATATAAACATTGCTTTAATGTTCCATAGAAAAGACAAGGATGACAAAGCTATGCTGAACACGTGAACATAGAATACTACTGCAGATTTACAGTATAAACTGATTTGTTAGAGCACCGGTGACCCTGTACACACAATATGAGGATCCTGGAACAGGAACAGCTAATAGAAAAGCAGCCACTATTCATGTTACATCTGTATTTGACAAGTCAGTATGCCATAAAAAAGGTCTACTGGATGTTATGACAAGATTGGAATTCTTTCTCAGGCTCGTTGGCCTAAGTGTCTCATCTGCAAACCCTTGTAGGAGAACTCAAATTAGTCCCAGTGTGGGCCTCTCATGTATTACTATTATATTTGAGCAGAAGCATCAGATTTTCTGAAAAATAATTACACAGCAATCTTGAAAATACCCGGAAGGTCGTTTTACAACACTTACTATTGTTGTGAAGGTATTTCCAGAATCCTCAGACACATCTAACCACCTAGATGAAAAATGATGATGGTAAAAGTTTTTTCAGCTTTATTTGATGAAAACTGCTGCCTGCTGCAGGTGAAATCGACACTATGAGAGCGGAGAGAGTGAACCAAAACAGTTGCAGTTATCACAGCTAAACAATGAGGTAAAGATCTTTGTAAAGCCGAGCGGAGCTACAGATTGAAGTGATAATTCTCTGTAAATTCATCATGACGAGGGACCTACTTTTACATTGCATTGTCATTTGTGTAATTTGATACATGGTTATTACTTAAAAAAACTACTATAACGTTTAAGTTAAGCTTTAAGTTTGTGTCTAATTTTGATTTTATAGATTTGATATATTTTTATTTCATTTATAGAGCATAGACAGACAGTCGCTGGCAGGTCCCTACAGGTACCTGATTGGACTTGTCCTTCACTACATGTGGTAATTGACTGCAATCACCTTTTGCTTCATACAGTGTTTACATACCCCCATAGGGTCCTGACAGGAGGTCTTATGAGGCCATGAATGAAAACACTAGTGTGGGGGCATTAACTCTGTCCCCTTCATTTACTAATTTATCTTTTAATAGAGAACACATTTACATTGTTTAGTACGCTTTATTCCACTGAGTCTAAAGCTATATCACACTTTTATATTGAGCAAAATGTCTAAACTCAGTATGCTTTTTACTTTAAGGTTTTACCATCACATACTAAATTCTGTTTGTGATGTGTATTTGGTTGTGCACAACAATTCAACATGATGGATTTGATATCTTTGCAAATCTTGAGACCTTGAGTAGAATTTTTAATAAAGTTCTGAGGGTTTGAAGGATGCTTGGCCGCATAATAATTGACTCATCAGGGGTTTGAGTGTCCATGGGTTTGAAGAGATTGAGCTGTACTGGATCGTTGTCACGTATACTAACAACAAAAGTGCAGATGCTGTTAACAAGCAGATGTGTTCACAATTTTGAAGAATTGTTCACTGGTGTCTGGTGCAGTACACATTTTCAAAGCTGGCCTTGCTAACTCAATAGCCTTGATGGCCACATACTGTACGTAAGCTTTTCCATCAAACTGATGCCTGTTTCATCTCAGCTAGGTTATTCATGGCCACTATCACAGTTCAAGAGCCACACGTCCAAGCCCAGTCAAAGAGCTGAGTCCTTGATCCCAGGTTGTGACCCCTGTCAAAGAACTGGATCCTTCATCCCTGGTGGCAGCTTTCCAGACCAAAGAGAGTGTTACCACAAACCAATGTCTCTCCATTTGAATAATGGAAATAAGGAACTGAGATATAACTTACACAGAAGAATATGTTTAAAAATATTTGCTATTGGAACATTTTGTTCTTCATCTCCAAAATAGCAATTCTTCCTTGACTCAGACAAAAGAGGCTTCTTTAAACTTCCATCACTGCATACTTTTGAGTCCAGAGGGATTTTAAATGGATTCATAAGAGAAAAGATGGTCTAATCTCCTTAACTCATGGAGGAGAGTGTAATCCTTAGAATACGACAATGACCAATATTGAGTTTATGAGATTTCCGCAGGATGACATTTTTCCTTCAGCTCTTTCCTTCAGACTGATCAACAGGCCCGCTTTATCTTTATCTTTACAACTTTATTAAGCTACTTTGTGGTGTCCTTTTGAGGATTGTCTTCTGCAATTCCACCAGTATTAGAGCCACTGAGTGAATGCAACAGGGAATACGACCTGCTTGTTCAAAGTATTTGGTCCCCAGATTGCAGAGGATCTAAGTGAAAGAGCCAATAAGAAAATCTTATCTAATGGGCTCAGAGTTGGGTTAGGTCTTTTAGTCTGTTACTAAGTCTCATTTTCAACTAAGAAGTGGGGGGAAAAAAGCAGTAGGGAGAGTTTTTACACATGTTTTTAAGTTAATCTTCAAATAGTTTTCAAGAATGTCATTTTCTTGATTTGTGCCCAATTAGGACAGATATGTCCCAAAAAATAAGAAATTATTATAAATTATCACCTTGTTGAGAACCATAATAGCAATATGATAACCACAATATGTCTGCACAGCTGTATTTGTTTGAAAAACAATTATAAACAGAGAAAAATTATTCAGAAACTGACACAGTTAACGACAGAAAAAAAAAATCATTGATCAATTGGATGTAAAGAGACAGCAAGCTGCTGTGTTGTGCTCTGTCTCCCATCACTATCTCTATCGCTCTCTCTTATACACACACACACACACACAGAACTGGACAGACACACAGGAGTGTATGTGGATGCACACTCACACACACAATCTTGATGATGACTCACTTCGTCTGTGAAAACAGGAAGTTATTACCTGTGATATTATCACTGTCTAAGGTCAGCTCTTTATACATATATGTCTACTTTTCAGTTATACCTAATAGCCGATTGGGAAGCAGAATACGACAAATCTAAAAACCTCACAAATCTTTATTCTGTTATTTTGTGTGGCGCCATTATTGTCAAGGCCTTTACTGCTTTATCACCATTTTAAATGATAACAGCTCACAGTAGATAAGTGTCAAACCAAATCTAACCACAACCACTACATAGAGAATAAATGCCAAGAAAACAAACAAATTTTTTTTCAATATGCTCTGATCAAACCCTTTCTGACAGACGTCACCTCTGCTGCTCTCTCTGTCTGCCTGATCCTCACTGAGTCCCCATCCCCTCTGAAGCTGCAGCACTCTGATCATCAGCCCACACAAGACACTGGCACTACCTCCACACATCTCTACAAAGGTACACTGGAAACAGAGAGGTAAATGACTGCCTGCCCGCAAGTACTGCATTTCTACTGGAGGTGAGGAAGGGGAATGAGAGAGATGAGGTGGAGGACAGATCAGAGAGAGAGAGAGAGAGAGGGAAGGAAAGAGAAGGAGAACAATGTCAGTGCTTTTTTTTACCCAATCACCAACCAGATCCCGGTTAAGACCTCTTTTTCTGCTAAAGGAGTCTTTTGTGGAATCATGACAAAGCTGCAGAAGCAAGCCTTTGTCTGAAAACAAAGAGGAGTGTGTTTGTGCGTGAGAGAGAGCCTGCTATTGTGGTTGTGTGTGTGAGTGTGTGTGTGTGTGTGCGCGTGCGTGCGTGAGTGCGTGTGAACCCAAGTGTGTGCACATCCAAGAGCAAGATAGCATGTGTTAGTTTGAGAAATTACTTCTCTGAGTGTGAGGGAAGTGTGTAACAGATGCAGGCGTTGTGTGTGAGTGTACGTTTGAGTGTGTGTGTGTGTGATTGTCTCCTTCATTTCCTTTGTGCTGAAGATTGGGTTGAGGGGAAAAAAAAGATGGCCTCTGCTCATCTGTAAAACTCTCTAATGATCTCAAGTGCGTACATGCACGTGCGCTAAATGTGAAACACACACACGCACATTCAGCCAGACAATGTTACTCCCATGTCACCCACACGTCATCCCTTCTGTCAACGGTCAGCATCTCAAAGAAAAAGAGTAGCGAGACATTGGAGCGATTGCCATCAACGCCTACATAAAAATAAACTCACATGAACACACACACACACACACATGAACAGACATGCACAGACAGAGTGACGAATCAGCCTCTATAGCCACCTTGCTAATGGAAATCCTACCCAGCAGATGTGCCCTGTTGGAAGAACACATGAAGTGTGAAACAGGCTTATGTATGCATACAGGTAGTGAACCAGTAGCCACCAGAGGATACTGTAGGGGTGTGAGTGTGTGTGTGTGTGTGTGTGTGTGTGTGTATGAGAGACACTGGCTGAACTTGTCTGTGCACAACGAGACTCAAATGAGATCATGGCTTCAAAACATTTAAAAGAAAAAACACAATTAAGCCTGCACAGCATTATAGCATCATCTAGACTGATTTCATAGAAGCTACTTGCAACCATAGATCCTTAATTGTACAACCAGTGGTGGACCAAGTATTCAGGTCCTTTGCTGTTTTCAAAACCTTACTTTTATGTACTTGTTAAAGTATGTATGTAATGTTCTTTACGTATAAATGTACTCATTCTGCAAAAAAATTGGTGTTCTACTATTATAAATAATGTTTTTGGATTAATATTACTGTAGTACTGTAGTGCTGTAGTTATTTAAAGTTAAGCTAATTTTCACAAATGTATGTTGGTAGTTTAATCTACAGCCATTCATCATATTCTATAAGATCATTATATGTTTGTTTGTAGTGTCGCTGTCCTTTGAGAACCACGTATCTCCAAAAAGCCAACTCAGATAGAGCCTTGTTTTCAGCTTCGTGACAATGCATTTTCCAGCTATTCCAAGAGGGTTTTTAAATAGTTTATGTACCTTAAGAAGTAGGAGAACTTTCTAAACCCATTAAGGAACAGTGAATACTTTATCACAAACGTTAAAATTCAGAAATCACCAAATTTGGAGATGTTTGGCTTTCAACGGACAGGAAGGGTATGAAAAATTGTGAATTGTAAAGTAACTAGAGCTACCTCTGAGATGTAGTTGAGTAAAAGTACAAGCTTACATGAAATGGAAAGAGTACAAGTACCTCAAATTTATTTATAAAGTACAAGACAAGAGTGAAAGTACTTAATTACATTCCCCCACTGAATACAACACAATTTACATACATACTGTATGTGCAAGTGTGCTGCTGGCTGTCAGCCTGAGGGTGTGTTGCCTTTTTCCTGCCATACAAAGAAATTCTGCATAATATTAGGGTAATATGTTCTATTTTTGGGTCTTTAAGAAATAGGAAAGAGATGCAGGTGAGATGAGGAGGATAAAAAAGAGGTGGTGAGGTAAGAAGGTGTGTGAAATAAGTGAAAATGATTGCAGGAAAGGTGCAGTGAGGACTTTGGAGAAAGAGGGGAAGTGAGAAAAATCATACAAGAAGAAATGAGTGTCAGGAGAGCAATTGTGTGATGCTTAATGAGGAAACAAAGGCACCTGAGTTAAACAGGGGACAGCAATAAGTGGGACAGATTGATGGCTTCTGAATATATAAACAGCCTCCGTCTGGAGGCCAGACTCTCTAAAACACATGGACTCGTTTTGAATTGCCCCAGAACTGGACCAACAATATACCCACCAATATTTATTGCTATATTATCCAGCTCTTCTTCGGTATTTCACATTTACACACCCAAATCCATTAAATATTAAAGACACATGCACACACAATAACAAGTTTAAAAAAACAACAAAAAAACACCCAGTTGTTTAGCTGCTGCTGTGCTCTGTATGAACCCATGCATGGATGGCTCCATGTTATTCTGCTTCAGCACCCTACCAAAAAAATACCCCCAAGTGCGCATGCGTGGCTAGATGCGCGCTGCCGCAGACAGGGGGCGTCAACATGGCGTTCCCTTCTCGACGACCGCACTGACTGCAACCTGCCAATGAGAGAGAGAGAGAGACAGAGGGAGACAGAGAGAGAGAGAGAGAGAGGAGAAGCGTAGGCTACCATTCTGTCAAACCTTCATCCCTTTTTTTTCCAGCCTTATGAATCCCTACACATTTTCAGGAGGTTAGGGAGATTTCAGATGATTTTTAAAACCCCGCTCTAACTTGTTGTTTTTTTTTCTTTCCTGCGCAGTGGATGGTTTTTGTGCGGCACCCGACGCAGCTTGTAGAGCAGGTGTGAGAGACAGCGGCGACCGCTCCTCTCCTCCCTGTTTCCAAGGGGAAATGTCGAGCGAGAAGCCGGTTTCAGCACCACCGGGCTCTGCTTCTTCGCTCACGGACACAGACCGAGACTCTCATCCGCCGCCGGGCTCCTCCGCGCAGCCACCGCCGCAGCAGCAGGTCGCCGCGGCCGCTGGCTCCAGCGCCACCGGGGAAAGGATGGTGTCTGCAGCCGGCTCTATGGTCCTCCCGGCCGGGGTGATCAACCCCGCTGTCCCGATCAGGAATATCCAGATGAAATTCGCCGTGCTGGTGGGCCTGATCCAGGTCGGGGAGGTTAGCAACAGGGACATCGTGGAGACGGTGCTGAACCTGGTGAGTGGAAGCAGGATCAAGTGTTAGAAAACACAGATAAAAGGCAGCCATAGAGCACAGTAGAACCACAGAGCCCTAACCCGCTATGTTTTATTTACGATGCCTCACTCCCATGGTAGTGTGGCTTTCAGAGGATGATGTCATTTGTTTGTTCGGAGGATGGATGTGGGGGTTTTCTCTTTCTGCGGATAAAAAAAAGGAGCACATATGAGGGCTGTATGCTGGGGGAATTAAAAAGAAAAAAAATCCCTGACGCTGTATTATTGTAAAGCCTAGAGGAGCTGAATGAAACATGTGACCCCGCCAAGGCATGGAGGGTATAATCACCAGCCATTGTTGACTAAATGACCCGTTTGCGGCGCAACAAGGAAAAAAAGAGGTTTGCAGTCCAACTCTAGTGGATGGAGGGGGATAGTGTATGCAGGCTATTCTCCTGACCCCGATATGTACCCTGAAGTGATGCATAGGCAGGTTGTAGCTACCAAACGGCGAATGGTCACAATGTTGCGCACAACACCGAGAAAACCCAAACGGAATGAATTCGGTTTTTCCTAAAGAGCCAAATCATGCAAGCGTGCACTGTCTGTCGAGAACTGAAACTAAATCAATCCAAACATGGACAAAGGCCGACTAGCATTATGCTATCCACCGACATATACGTGTGTGTATGAGAATGGCTCAAATGTATGCATAGGCCTATTGTTGGAGGCAGGGCCCTGCATCCCGTGTGCGCAAAGGAGTGATGTATAGGTAGCTGTGAAGCGGTTAGTGGTTCATATTGCTGTGTGCTTCCAACAGCGATTCTTTTATTTATGGATCAGATATACAGTGCCACCTCCCCTCCTCATCCCCCCCCCCCTCTCATCGGAGGTTGTGTCGGAGATGCTGGGCCTACCCCTACACATGAGAAGATTTAATCCAGCTGGGGGCTTTTGACATGACTGGTGTTTCCCGTTACGAAACAGATGAGCGAAATGTACAGCAGACGTGGGTCTGGAAGACTAATGCGTTAGGAGGATATAGGACCTGTGTATTGGATGCTGCCAGGCTGTTTTCCCTCCTCCATGCATCAGGCGATGGCGTGTGCTGCATGATATTACATATCTGCCATGAAAAGAGGGGTTGTGATCATTATTCATTTTCTTCTGAGGAAGAAGTAGAATAATGTAGACATAATTTATAACCTGATTTCAGTGCAGTGCTTTCTGGAGGTTGACTATTTCAGGGTTCTGTGTAGCCAGTGGCCTATTTACTCACTGGATGCTTGGAGCAGGACAGCCTACAGCTGGGCTAAACCATTTTCCTCTCAGTCAGACCGGTGAGCCGTCCTGATTCAGGTCGCCTCTCATCTTCCAATCGATTATTGGTACTACATGGAAGAGCAAGGGGGGGGGTTTTGCTGGCTCACTCCGACCTTGTCTCCTTCCCTTTACAACAGCTGCACAGGCTGATAACCATCCATCCATCCTGTTCCACTGCCTCCTCCTTCACTCTGGAGGGGCTGAGAGGAGGGATGCTGCCTGCATAGACTGGCCTGGCAGGGCAACGCCATGCATTTAAAAGCAGGTGGAGAGGAGGAGGAGGAGGAGAAGGGGTTGAGGGAGGGTGGGGGAGGAGAAGAGAGAGAGTGGAGGAGGAGGAGGATGAGGTGGTAGGATGCTGCAGTGGCTATGTGCTCAGAAATCACCAGCTGATGCAGTGGAAGAGGAAAGGACTTTGGATTGGTCCACATCAGATCAGTGAAAGCTCATCAGAGCGTTCAACTGAAATCTACTCTATTTTACATAAATACCTGCATTAAGGCCTTACTCCTTATTTATGAATGTTGGTCTGATGCATTAACACACAGAGGCCAAACAGCCTGACAAATTACAGCAGTATGTGTTAGCCATACAAAGCTTTACTTGCTAAATCCTGAATTGAACAATCAGTTCTGGTTGCGAGGCTGCCAATAGCTAAGCCTGTTAGGGAATTCTGTTGCCCAGCTCCTTAATTAAAAGAGTTGAAACAAAGAGGTGTGGAGGCAGGAACCTCAGCGGTCATGCTGCTGGTACAATGAGTCCACTGTGACCCAAAAGCTGATCCATTATTCCAGTCAATGTGGGAGACCACAGCAGCCACATTCTCCGTCCACCGTGGCCGTATTGATCAGCTCCCACTGCGGCTTGGGTGAACAGATGGCTTGTCAGCTGGATCAGATATGCTCCCTGTTCTATACGGCACGTTGCTGGCCCTTTGGCGAGTGATGAACTGTAGTGTCTCTAGAAAGAAAGAGAAGAAAAGGAGCGAGAAGACAATAAAAATCAACCTGGGGCCCAGAATGCTGGCTGTACTGATGCTGATACAGTGACAAAACAACAGAGCAGAATCAGTTTATCAGCACTGCTGCCTGTGTAGCCGAGAACATAAGGCTTGTTATTGTTCATAATAATGTAATAATAGTGTTTTTAAATAAAAGTCCACAGTACACGCAGTGCACACATATATATATAGAAACACGTACACTGTGTGTGTGGGGGCTGCTGGCGGCGAGGTGCTCAGCTATTATCATCAACAAGGCATCACAGTTGTCAAGGCAACACTGCTCTTTGACTGCCTGCCTCCAGACGCTCGACCACCTGGTGTTGCTTTCCACTTCCGGACTTCTGTCACAGTACTCTGCCACAGCATTTCTCTCCATCTCTCACGCTCATTCTTTGTTTGTCTGTCTGTCTGTCTCCTGTTATGTGCTGATATTTTTCTGGAATTCTGTAAACAATAACAAGCTAAAGAGGGTTGATTAACTGAGAAAGTCGGACAATAGCACGGATACATTTTAGTGGGAGCATCAGCGAATAAGCATGGTTTTAGGTAGAGTTTGGTCACAAATGAAAGGAAAAATATCAGGTGTATGTCCTGGAGGGATGAAAATCATTTTCCCTAAAGATATTCCCTCATTTAGTGTTTTGATGATGGTGGTGGAAAGCATGTTACTCCAAAATCTCCCATAGGCGATCAATTGGGTTATGATCTGGTGGTTGTCTGCAGTGAGTCTGCCATGGAAGCATCTGCTTTTGTTATGTTTTGTTTTTTTCCCTTTTAATTTGTCACCAGTCTGTAAATCGAAGTATACGGACGCTTGTCAAGCCTGGATGTAGTGGTTGCGAGATAAATCTGTGGGTCCAGTGTAACATTTAGGAGGATCTATTGGTAGAAATGGATTATAACATTCACAGGAATGTTTTAATTAGTGTATAATTACCTGAAAATAAGAATCGTTGTGTTTTCTATGCAGAGGGTACAGGTCCTCTTCTGCAAAGGCTGCCATGTTGAACTGTCATGTTTGTACAGAAGCCCAGAATAGACAAACCAAACACTGTCTCTTAATTGGGCCTTTCAAGGTTTTTGTGTATTTTGCTACCACTGTAATTTCTACTTCACGCTTCAAAGGGGAGGGTGAAGTGAGGGAGTTCAATCTGCATCCACTAAATTCTACACAATGGGCCTTTAAAAAGGATTCAGATAAAACAGGGCAACAACTCTTCATTTTGGTCAAGCTTTTCATAACCCATAGACACATATTCAACTGGCCTTTTTTGTGTCGTCATAGGCCGAAAAGGTTGGGGGGGCACTATTATGAATGACACTCTACAGGACGGGACACTTTATGGTGTTATGATGGACCCATTTACTGGTTGTGTCATCCTTTTAGAGGGCAGTGCTTTCTTTTCTGTCTCTGCACTGGTGGTTCTGTGGATTGAAAGCTCAAATTCTTCTTGTTAATGGTCATCCACTTCCAGCCCATGCTGTGGTTACTTGTTTGACATATTGTGATGTTGGATATTGGGGGGGAAGCCAGGTGAGGAGGAATGTTTGTTGAAGGAACGAAGAGGGTTGACGTGATCTATCTGCCCGAACTGTACTGTCACATCTTTCCTTTATTTGAAATATTGAGCGTTATTTACAGGCAGTACTGTCAGTCTTGCATGCGTATGGCACCAGCTTATTTATAGACAGCTTTATCTAGTTGTGATGCTTTTTTTTGGGATGAAAAAGATGTGTTTGTCTGGCGTGAAAAAAGATTGGTGACACTCACTCCGGCTCGCTGTTGGTCTTCCTGCCAGTTCTTCACTTTTCATTCCCTCTTTCACCTTCCTCCTTGGTCGAATGCAGTATCTTCTGGCAGTGTCAATCCCCACCTGAGCCCCTTTAGTGGGTCCCGTTGAGTCTCTGTTAGCAAACGTCTCATTATTCTTGTCCACACACTCCACAATCACCAAGGTCACCTGATACCGAGTCCACAGCCAGCAGAGTCAGCACAACACGCTGAATCTGACACACACAAGAAAAACACCCAAAAAACCCACACGCACACTGTGATGTTGACATTCAGACACAAATGCAGACACGCAGCGGCACTTTCATTTGCACACGTGAGGTAGCAACTGATTGATATTACTGTTTTCTGAAGGATAAACAACCAAACAAAACAACAAATGAAGATGAGGAAGGCATTAAAAAAACCTTTCTATGTTTTGTCATGTGTTCAACACTGCTGACCCTCTGTCTGAACTGCAGTGACACTGGCGTGCTGATTTATGCCGTGCAGATTTCTAAAGCAAGAGGTCAAACAATTTCAAAACATATTATGTGACATCTTACTTTGCCCTAAGGTGGCTTTAAACGCTACAAAATTCAGTTTAATTTAACTGCTTCCCAAGTTTGCCCTGTGGCTGCACACTCAGGGCAGAGGGTAACTATTTCCCTGCAGCCCTGTAATCTGCTTGCATGGTGATGGAGGGAATAACAGTGCGTCATCATGTGCTCACACTGTCAAAAACAACAAAAAATCCCTCAGTTGTTTGTGCAGAAAAAATGATGTTTGATGGACTTTTTCATGAATACAGTAGATGTTAATGGTAAATGAGCAGTTTTCTAACATATTCTTTTTAGGTTTTTAAGCTTAGGCTTAGCAGTTTCTGTGGCTGTAGCACGCAATTAAAGATGCAATTTACTGTGTC